TAGCAAATATAAAACAAAAAAAGAATATATTAAAGAAAACATTTCAAGTAATATCTTGAAAGAAATGACTGTGCACTTGTATGAACCTTTGTAAACCATAAAAAAGGGAACTAAAAAAAAGTACAAACAAATATGATAACATAATATTTATATTTACAAGGTTAACTTAACAAGGCTTTGTACAAATATTACAAAATTGTTCAACACAAACACCTGCACACTCAGACATGATCACGAACAGTTTTGCTCAAACACATAGGCATTATCAACAAACAGAGACAGACGGCTGTACGTTGTGTGTTTGTGTTGTTTGGAGTATAAATGTGAGTTTGACAGTGTCTGTGGTCTGAGGAGGGACAGACTAGGAAGACTGACAGGAAAAATCAGTTGCAATCCCTCTTGAAATGGTTTTAACCTGACCATTACATTTTTGTAAATGTCTGTCTCTTCTGGCTCACTGAAGTAGGTTTAAACTCATTTTCTAATAGTAACCGTTAAACTCCACTTTGTTAAGAAGCACCATTCTCTGAAGAACCAGAGGAAGGATGCACTTCAGCGTCCTCCTCTGGTCACTTAAAGACATTTAACATATGTCATTTGTGAGCCAAGCAGGAAGGAAGAGAAGACAGGAAGGATGCTCGGTTATTACTCGAATGCAAATTCTTGGCTGTAACATTGATGGTTATGAGGTCTGTTTGTGTCTCTGTCCTGCTTCTGTATTATTTCTATAAAAGCACACACAGAGGAGAAACACAAAAGCTTTGGCAACACTGGAATGCTCCCTGCCATGCATATGGAGCTTATCAAAAAGAAAAGGCTGGGCTGCTGTTAAAGACCTGTTCAGTGGTATGCTGTGTTGTACCTGGCTACTAACTACAGCCCAGTTTACACTGCTGCTGCTGCTCTGCCGACCTCCAGAGGAGTCAGCAGGTCAGCATCAGCAACTTCAGCCTCTTTTCAGCTGGCAGGGCTCACAGGTACTGGTGGAATCTAGAGGAGGGTGATTGATGTGTAGCTGGTCCTTGTTCGAGGCCATCTGCATCCCGAGGCAGCTCTGGCGTCTTGACCTGGTTTTGATTGATAGGAGAAGGGGAGCATTCATTGACAGTCAATGGGGGTCTCTTGTTGGATGCCTCGGTCGGGGAGGCCACCACAGTGTGTCTGCGCCAGGCCCGTCTCCTCCTCCGTGTCTCAGGCGACAGCGGTTTCCGCAGTCCCACACTCCGCAGGTCATCGGCCGAGCCCAGCAGTCGAGCCCGAACATGGTCAGCCAGAGACCTGCCGCCCGGGCCTGTTGGGGTGAAGGAGGAGGCCTCGCCGGGTGGCAGGGCGGGCCTGGGCCGAGCTAGGCGCAGACTCTCCTGGCTGCTGCCTGAGGAGGGGTAGGTTCTGGAGGACTCCTTCTTCACTCTGGGTGCAACCTCTGACCCAGAACTAGCCCCGTCACTTTGAGCCGCAGTCCCAGACAGCTCCAGCAGGTCCAGGGAGCGAGCCTTGGCCTTCTCCGACTTCAGCTTCTTCCTGGCAAGAGTGTCACACTGGATCAGTTTGTGGGAGCTGAAGGAAGGCCGCGAGTGCAGTCTGTGAGTAGTGGACGAGGAGGAGGACGAGGTTGTGCTGGAGCGTGCCCCTCCCTCACTTCTTTCTGCAGAGTCTTCTGTGTGTGTAAGGGGTGTTGGCGGGACGAGCGAGTTTGGGGGAGAGAGAATGGAGGGTTTGTAATGTGTGTAGAGGAAGCTGCGTGGGGCTGCTAGCGGCTGTGTGTTTCCAGGTGAGGTTGGGTGTTTATCAGGTCTCTCCTGGGTGAGGGAGCGCGAGGCGAAGCCACTCTCATTGTCCGTCTCGCTCACCAGCTCGCTGTGCTCATCATCAGCATCATCCCCCCTCCCCTCTGATTTCAGGCTGCGCCCTAACGTGGAGAGGGTGGAGTAACCAGAAACGATAGAGTGGGCGTCCTCTGGAGCTCGCCAAGGTGGCCCCTTCACTTCCGCCCGTGCCTCTTCGTTTAACAAAATGGCTGCCTTCCTTCTTCCTGCCTCTTCCTCTTTACAGCACGGCTGACTGGGAATTTCTGGCACCACCTCCACTTCGACCTCCCCTTTCTCTCCTCTTTCTACAACTTCCTCATCTTCATCTTCCTCTTCTTCTTCGTAGTCATCATCCTCTCCTTCTGCTCGAGGAGCAGTGTCTCCTACAGGTGACTCTGCCTCGTCTCCCTCCTCTGTCCTTAGATGTTCAACTTTGACTGGTTCGTGCTCTGAGTCGTCATCGGTGCTGCTGCCCACTCGGCGGGCATTATGGCGCTTCCTGCGTTTGCGGCCTGTGACAGCAGACATGATGGAGATAGCCAAGAAGTCTTTGGCTGTGAGGTCTTTCTTTGACCCCCATGACCCCTGGAAAAGGAAAAGCACGTTACTGTGAAGCTGTGGTACATCACACTTACATTTTTTAATACAAGTGTGTATATTAGTGGTTCTATGAACAGTCAGAGTAACTTTATGCCGTGTCATGTACAAGATGTTACCTTTGACTTGGCTGAGTCACTGTTAGTTGAATCTGGGGAAACAAACAAACAAACAAAACCATCAATGGGTCAAATACACTGAAGTGAACAAAAGGCCAGAACAGTCATGGTCGAGGACACAGAGGCCGTTGGTATAAGCGTTACTTTTTTAAAGGACAAATTTACAGTAAATCACCTACTGCACTGCGCTCTGTTTTCTCAACATACTTTACTCCTTGATGTCACAGTCGGTGCTTTCCCCTTTACAAATGATGGAAAACACTGACATTCACTACATGGAAGTTTCTGTTTGTAGCGAGCAGCACAGCAGCAGTTTCTCATCTTCCTCCTCACTAAAAAAAATACTAAAAGTTTTGTGACAAATTCCTCTGCTAAATTAAAAAGTACTCATCTTCCTCTGTGCCTCCTGACCGTGACGGACCCAGACACAAAGACACTGATTTACACACTGGGGGAATGTGGAGGAGAAACAATGATTTTGGGAAGCGGGGTTTGGCATTGGAGGGCAAAACTGCATTAGGAAACAATGGCACACGCTGATGACATCACTGAAAACACTGATGACATCAATCAGTGGAAGAAGCGTGAAGGCAGAAATTATCAGTTTTTAAAAGAAGACGTGTTTCATCTCAAACGCAAACACACTGACGAAGGAGAGGAGCTTTGTTTTGGTTTTTCACATGTGCAACTGAAATCTTTTTAGAAACCCAGAGGTCGGGAGGGGTGGGAGTCTCTTCAGGGGCTCTAGATAGAGTTGTTTCTCATGTACCGTGGACATCAGCAGTTAATATCAAGCCAATTTATTCTGTTTTCATCTTTCCTCTTGGTATCAAGGATAGCTCAGCATTACAATCCAGTCAAAGCCTTTAGTTTTCTCAGGATGCAGCTTAGCTCAGGTGCTTCACCAGTGAAGCTGACGTTATGCTTCACCCTACTGACTGATCTACAAGCTACTAGTCCTGAAACAATACGTTAATGATGAGCTGATCAACAAAAAGTCTAGAAACACTTTTGATAATTGAAAAATTATTTGAGTAATTTAACCAGCAAAATGCAAAACATTCACTGGTTCAAGCTGCAATGTGATGACTGACTGCTTTACTCCACTTTCTGCTGATCCTGAATACCCTGAATGCCAGGTGTACAACAGCAGCAGTGTCAGTGGCTTGTCACCAGTGAGATACAAACAGGTGACATATTAAAGGTAAAATGAACATAATGTGTCTGTTTGGTCTGCTATATGCCACCAGCACAGCTTCCGTGCACCTTGGCCTTGATTTTCCAAGTCTCTGAACTCTAGTGAGGGTGGGAAGGTGAACACTGTTCTTCCAAAAGATATTCCCTCATTCGGTGTTGTGATTATGGTGGTTGAGACGCTGACACATTGGTCCTAAATCTCTCATAGGTGTTCAGCTGGGCTGAGATCCGGTGACTGTGAAGGCCATTTCCATACTCAAACCATTCAGTGGCCCCTCGTGCCCTGTGGGTGGGGGTGCTGTCATCCTGGAAGAGACCATTCAGGTTTTTCCTTTAATATGTGGCCCAGCTGTAGATTCACTGTTAGCTCCGAGCTCACTTCAGCTGCATTTAGGAAACCTAAGTGCTTTTAGGGACCTTGCAGAAGGACGGGTGAAGGTCTCAGTCACAGTTGCCATCTAGAAGCTTCACATAAAATAACTTTCCTTGAAAGGAAACTTACAGCTGATGTCACGAGGACCTTTAAATGGCAGGTCAGAAATGGCACCACCTAGAGCCCCTTCAGAACTAGAAGTGGGGTTAGGAGTCTGTTGGACTACATCAAATGAAACTGCTGGTAGGATGATTAGAGCGCAGTGCTTGACAACAAGACAGGCCACCAGTGAGGGCGGGCTGTCTCTTAGTGACAGACCACAGTGGGTTTAACAGGCAGAGAGCACCCAGTCATCCGTTTATTCATTAGTCAGACTGGGACGACATTGAAGTGACATAATCTTACTGAGACCTCCGTCTGACACCGAGTAATGGACACCATGGAGACACAAACCATCACCCTCACTAACGCTCTCTCTCACACAAACACACACCCATTATGCCACTTTCACAATGCTGCATGGGTGCACACACACACACACACACATATTGCCAGGGGAGTTTCCCGTCCTACCGCAGTGGCTGCTCCACAGGCTCAGCTGAGAGAAGGAAATGCAGAAACGTACAGAGAAAGTGAAAGATGAGCAACGTGGAGAGGAGAGAACTACAGACACGCTATCAAACAGAGAAACACTCCAAGTGCTAACGGATGTTCATTTTTTATGCTGCGTTCCAGTTCTGATGGAAAGTAGGGAATTCTGGCTTTAAACTGGTACAAACGTCCATCAAGGAATTTCAGTCAAGTGAGGAATACACCTGTGTGACTTCATGCCAACACTGTTGACACCTGAGAGGGCTGTTTTCAACATGTTGGTACAAAACATCATTTAAAAAATATATTTATTTAGAGCAAAGTGAATTCATTGACTTCATCTCTTTTGTGAGACATTATTTAAAAATACCTCAAATAAGATCAGTTGTACTAATAACACCATTTTTTTTTTTTTTTGCTTGAAGAACAATCTGGCCTGAAAGCTGGATTTCTTCCCCTCAGTTCACTGGAACACAGATTGTATTTAGCTGGGAATTTCCTTCTTTCAGTTTTAGATGGAAGCAGCACTCATTTTGGGTTGCCAGTTCCAGCTCACCTGAAGCCTCCCCGAGCAGAGCAGTCCTGCCGATGTTGGACAACAGGTGGTCGATGTTGGGAGCCGGCTGCACATCCTCAGTGTCCACCGGCGTCTAGAGGGACAGACACAGGACAAGTACATTTAATTAAACAACAACAGTGTGTCAGTTACATTCAGTGGTGGAAAGGAAGTAAGTACATTTACTCAAGTGCTGTGCTTAAGTACAATTTTGAGGTATCTGTACTTTACTTGAGTATTTTATTTACGTTACCTCATACTTTGACTTCACTACATTACATTACATAAAGCAGATCTTTTTTTTTTTTTATTCTACATGAGCCGTCCCTGGTAGGCTAGTGGTTAAGGTGCAGCGGCGAGAGTGCTGCGCCTCAGGTTTGAATCAGGGTTGCATCAGGAAGGGCATCCAGCGTAAAACACGTGCCAAATGTCAACATGCGAGTTGTCAGTGAAGGCGACCCCTAAACGGGAAAAGCCGAAAGCGACTTTCTTTCTAATTTGGTAACTTTAGTTACTAGCTGCTTTTCAGAATTGGATTAATTAAACAAAATTCAGTATAATCATAAGACTGTATTGATCATACACAGCAGGATATAAGGTACTTCAAATTACAAATATATAAGGTACTTAACATTAGCTCCACTTTTACCATTTCCAAACTTAAATGTAATGTACTCAGTAATGCATCAATAACTATAGTTCAATAATACGATATACATTAATGTGAACCTCCAAACTTAAATGTGATGTACTCAATAATGCATCAATAACTATAGTCCAATAATACGATATACATTAATGTGAACTGTGCCATTCTGCATAAGGAGTACCGTTTGGTACTTTAAGTATATTTTGATGTTAATAGTTTTGTACTTTTACTTAAATAACATTTTGAATGCAGGACTTTTACTTGTAACAAAGTATTTTTACAATGCTACTTATTGCTACTTTTACTCAAGTAAGTAAATTTATATTTTATAACAGATAAAAACCAAAAAATCTCCAAGTCGATGCATCATTTATCAAAATGTCAACAGATTAAGTCGACTTATTGTTGCATAGTGATAAGAATTTATTACATGAAAAATACAAGTTATTGAAACAGGGTCACCAAATGTCCATGCACACAGTCGTACACTGTGTCGGGAATGTTCGACTGATTTGAATTTTCTTCAGGTATGTCTAAACAATCAATTGGTTCTTTACCTGTGCTCCTCATCACAAAGATAAATCTATAGGATCATATTTAAATCTCTGTGATTACGTGTCACCGCGGTGAAAGCAGACTGACTTACTGGTTTTATCAAAGAACAAAATTCCCCCACTGGATGACAAAAACCAGAATTGAATCAAAATCAGATAGGTTGCTGCAGAAGACACCGGTTTTAAAAAGTCATTTTATCTCACATTTTTCTTAAAAACTGAAAAAAATCAGACCATTTACACAAAATAAACCACTCATTCCCAGTATACATGTTTTTCAGCAACTTTCTAGAAGTCATTATTGCCATCTTGAAACAATATGGCCTATTGCGGTGCAAAAAACAACAACAACAGACATTTAAATCTAGAAAAACACAAGGCTGCTACACCCTGGAAGCAGCTCCACCTTTGGAAGTTTGTTTGGAAGCTGCCAGAAACAGGAGAAACAATCCCATTAGTTTAAGAAAGTAACATTTTATGGCTCGTTAAAGGAAAATGGAAATTGGAAAGAATATCGTGCATTGTTATTTCACCACAGGCCACTGTAGGTCATCAAGGCGTTCAACATGCAAGTCTAAATAAAGAAATTATTGTGCAACCTACAGTCACAACAATATGAGAGAAATACCTTTTCGTCCTTGTCGAGCTCTTCAGTGAAAAACCAGGTGCACTATAAGAATGATAAAGAAAGAAGCATTTAGCATGACAAAAACCAGCCGCACTTTGTGTGTGAACCTGTGTGTCTTTGTGTGACATTCTCACATGTTGGATGAGCGTCTCTACTATCTTGTAGCGGTCGGGCATGTGTGTGACCATGTCTTTCATGTTGTCCTCGGACGTGCGAACCAGAGTAGGCCCAAACACCAGAGCCAGATTACGAGGCTCCATCTTCCCGCACCGGGTCATGACAAAAGGATGTTAATACCTAGGTGAGCTCAGTGATACATTTACTTATGAACTGCACTTACAAAACCTTCTTTCACACACCTTGTTTTTATCCGAGTGGTCTGCTACTGTCTTCAGGTGACCAACCAGGAACTTCATAGTGTGATATTGATGATCTGGGAGATCTCGGATCTACATGAGAAACACGAGGAATGACAATACCGACAAACCTGTCCAACCTGCCAGACTTCTGCTACACACATGCACAAACATTCGCACACACATTAACCAAGCCGATTTATGATCCCACTCAAATTCATTCATGAATACAAACAAACACGCACCAGTTTCTTCATGGTTTTTAATCTGTCTGATGCATTTTCCATCCGATTGGCCTCAATAAAGTCGTTGTACTTGTCTGCAAAAATATGAGACATATTTAAATACATGTAAGATAGGAAAGTCTGATTTGAATGCAGTAGAGTATGTGAGGCAATACAGTGTGTGTGATGGCTTGTTGTAACATGTACAGACTCACCATTGGTGAAGAGCGGCTCTGGAAGGTTCCTGAAGAAGGATTTGAGTAAACTGCTGACAACGTTGAGGTCTTGCCACTTCTGTTGACAGCACAGAGTCAAAATAGTCAAAGATCACAGTATTTTACCTTCTGCATCTAAAAATACTGTTTTACTGAGTAAAGCTGAATAAAACCCCTCAGTTAAATGGTTTAATTCCTGTTCTGTTTTGATCCCCGAAGGGTCTTTGCTTACAGTAAATGTAGATGTGTATTTGTTGTCTCTCACCTCTTCTGCAGGGTTGATGTCGATACCCTTGTTGAGCTGATCCTGAAGCAGCAACACCATAGCGTTATTTCCAGGAACTCTGTAGATTCCGGTGTATTCCAGACCCATCTCCTCCACCAGACCGCAGCAGATCTCCACGATCATCGGTACGAACTGAGACAAAAGACAGACACAGACGTAAACAACTTTCAGTAGTAATTCTGCTCTAAGGTGATCGAGAGGAGACTGAGAATACTGTGGCTAACCTTGTTATTTGCACCAGGCTGACATTCTTCCAACCTCACACCGAATGCTTTGGGCCCGGCCTTCTTTGTCTTCTTCATAATGTTGATCCCCCATGGAGACTTAGGAGGACTGCTCTCATCTGGGGGAAGGTTGAGCACAGAGGTCCCAATTTAAAACAGAGCATCTGTATTTCCTGTTCTGTTTCCCCAGTCCTTATATTAAAGACTCTCACCAAAGAAAGTCTTACATTAAAAGTGAGTTTTCAGAAGTGAGTTTGCAAAAGATTCTCGGGCAGTGCCACCCTGAGATATGTTGTTTCTGTGGCTACTGTGTGACATTTCTATTGCTGGATTATTTGTGCTTATGTATTAAAAAGCATAATATGGTTATGTTTAAAATATGGAAATACACATCTTGCCTTTGCATTAGTATTAAACTGTGACAGTATTACCTATTAGTAATGAAACAAATGAGTCTACTTATTACCCCTTCAGAATATAAAACTGAATTACCCTGAACGGTGCCACTAGTTACAGAACATTGATCCTAAAGGATAATTGATGCAAAAGCTGGCTTCCTCCAGTCGATAATCAGTCTCATTAGCTTCTGATATTTAATCAAAGACAATATTACAGTTGGATGCCTGCTGTATCTGCATTTCACTAATGGCGCCTTTACCATAAGGGTGAATTTGAATACTACATGGTGTGGTATTCATGACTTTGTCCAAACCCACTGTAGAATTTATTTACTTCAGATTTGCTGTATTAGTTTGCTGTCATCTTATTTTGTTTCTGAACTTGACCAAAAGTTTCATCTGAAGAGAGAATGAGCAGCAGATTTAACACTCCATTAAAGTAAACTAATAATAAAACTTTTGTCTTTTGGCTCACTGAGCAGTGAACCCTCCTGCGCTCCACGTACAGCACATACTGCCAGTGTGGTAGATGTTTTCCTCTCGGACACTGACCTTTGCCCTCGGGTTTGGGTGAGCGTGGTGCTCCAGCAGCGTTCTCTGTCTTGGTATGCAGGAACGGAGGTTTCATGCGGGGCATCCTTGGAGAGGAGTCAGGCTTGCTGCCTGTTGGACTGCAGGGGGAGACAAAGATACTGGCCTTATTCTAGCCTTCAGTCATGAAACTGTTTCAAGACAGTGTTAACAGCGGCTTCATTATGTTCAAGAAGGATTTATCACCTCTGTTTTCTGTAATCATTCAATTTCTTATTGATGAGGGCCTGTCTGGAGAAGCCAAGCTCCTGCAACAAATAAACGTATTTGAGCTCCAATGACAACAGGTACTGTAAAGAAGAGGTTAATGTCTGAAAGGTAACGTTGTGACCTCTGACCTCACTGTCTGTCTTGCTGTTCTCTCTGATGACCTTTATCCAGTCCAGCATGTCCTCCCGGTCCTCCGCCTGCAGCAGGTACTCGCAGAAGTCCTGGGTGGTCAGTCGCAGGGCATGCTTTCGCTTGGTCTCGCTGTAAGCGATGTCCACCAAGCAGCCCCGGATGCTGATTGGCTGTTCGTCCTCGGCCGAACACCCTATCGTGGCCCCACGAAGCACCGCCTCTCTCTTGTCCTTGTAAAGGAAGAGTGAATTCGAACGAAGCACTGAGAAAACTCGCTTCCATGGACGCATGCCACTGCCCACCTTCTGAAAGGAGAGATGAGATGTGATTTGAGTCTCTGCTTATTTTAAATGCTTTTCTGCCTTCAGTTATTTTCTAACCAGGCGTGGTCTGCACACCTTGCCCTTTTCTGTGAGGATTTGTTTGAAATGTAGCCATCCTTCTCGCCGTACGTCGCTGTAAGTGATGTTTCCCAGCTCTGAGGTAGAGTGGCGTTTAGACCGAACCTCCTCTGCTGTCCCAAGACTGTCCAGAGACTGAAACACAGACAGGAACATGATCAGAACGTTGGTACATTACTTGATATAATGTGTAATCTATTAACAGGCAAACTATTACATCTTATAATTTCTACTCTAGAGACTATGTAACTTTTCAAAGAAGAAATAACATCATTTGCTCTTACAAATCAGAAGGTGACATAGTAAAACTGACCCTTGCTCATTTTGGTATACTCAGAGGTTTTACTGCTAGAGCCACACTTGGCCTTATAGCGTATGATGGTTAATGTTTCCCAATGTTAAGACAAAGGTACCTTTATAACTGATATTACTGACTTTAGGGACTCTTTTTTTTTTACTCTTAGACTATTGACACCAAATTTAGTCATGTCACATAAATATTTCAGTGGTTTTCTGACAGAAGCAAAACAAGAATTGTGACTGTTTCGTTATGACAAGAAGCGTATGTCACTTTAAGCTCACTCAGAAACTCAGACACCATTTTCATGAATCACTTAGCACTCATTACTTTGCAACTGTAATTTAAAACGGCCACTGCCGATGTAATTTTGTCCTTCCACTGTAGATAGTCACATAAAATATTTCTTTAAAAGTCCTAAATTAGGTTTTTATGCCTTAATTCATTAAGCAAATACCAGTCTTTAAGCTGGTATATGTTTATAAATTTATCTGAGAAGCTGGAGGATGATCATTGTTGCATATAGCTTTCTTTCTTTCTTTGCTGGCTTTTTAGCAAAATAACAAGTGAATGCTATAGTGGTCAACCAGGTCCTGCTTAGAAATGGTTTAAAAGAAAGATGTCTTAACAAGTTTAAGATGAACTCACCCCGTCTGCGAAGAAGCTCTTCACTCTCTTTGGTAACCTCCTGTGGACAACAGCAACACGACTGTCAAATGTCTGCCTGCACATGTAACTTACTGAATAAGATCATTTTTAAACAACAGTTGTCTCATTACTCACGAGAAGACTCGGCCTTCCTCTCTGAAAGTGTTGAGTCCTTCATCACATGACTTGGAGCGCTCGGAGGTGATGGCTAGAAGATAGGATGAACGGCGACTGGATTTAATACTGCCTGCTTGATGAGAGGAGGAATGAATGGAGGAAGAGAGAAGAAGAAGAAAGAAATAAAGAAACAAAGAAAGAAAGAAAGAAAGAGAAAGAAAGACGGGATGTTGATGTAATGCCAATCACCAGAGTGAACGGTGTTGGATTAGGAGATGGGGATAGTGAAGGAGGAAGCAGGAGGGGTGGAGGACGTCATGGGGTTTGAGTGGCGAGTGAATGGGTGGCGGTGGGATGATGGACGCTGGGGAGATGAACTGGAGTAGTGGGTTAGGATAAATTATCTCTGGACTTTTTCTCACCACTGGCATGCAGTTATAACCTCTGTGAATACACACTGTCATGCATTTGGGGCATTTGTTTAAAGAAATCTAAACCAGACTAGGAACTAAATAAATCTTAAGACACACTGACTTTGGTCTTCATGCACAGCTAACCCATTCTGAAAAAGCTGGGTTTACTTTGTGCAAGCATGCAATCCACAAATCCAGCATGCAAAAATGTTAGCAGCACTGCTAAAAGGCTCATCTTTACAAGACATTTAGTCTATTGTCAAGTCCCAGAAGTTTCAACCTATTATTTCAACCTGTTTCCAAAAGAAATCAAGAATTTTTTGT